CGACAGTGACTTTCCGTTGGAAAGGCAGGGAGTGCCACTCTGTGCAGTGGGCAGTATGCACAGCAGTGCAGAGAGAGCGGCGGCCTACTTGGTGGTACCACGTCGTCCTGCTTGGTAGAGGAACACATTGTTAGTAAAGGGAAATGGGGGAGACAGCTCAACAACAACAAAAAAACTCAGGGAGTCCAAAAAAAAAAATAGTGGGTTGTTCTCTTCTCTGACACGAATGCAAGTGAAGTTATTGTTTTATTTTTATTTGGAGAAAATTTGATGTCTCACAATAATTTATTTGCTCGGCCCACCAAACATGGCCTCCTAGTCCCAAGGTCTCTCATGCAGGCAGATGCTCACATCTCCTGGCTGCTGCCTAGCTGCCATAGACACGAGGCAGACAGCCTAACTGTCACCAAACAGTTTATTTGTCTCATGTGATCAGAGAACAGACACTACAGGCCCTTAGTAAAGCCAGGCACACACACACACACACACACACACACACACACACACACACACACACACCTCTAAAAAGATATAGTATGCTTTAAAATGTGCTTAGTTGTTGAAGAAACAAAAGAAAATTATATAGACAGACCAAAAAAAAAACATAAATTGTGGTGATATTTTGTTTATGACCTAACAAATAAAGCTTGCCTGAAAATCAAAATGCAAAGCTAGCCACCAACATAGAAGCCAGGCAGTGATGGTACACACCTTTAATCCCAGCAGCCACACCAGTTAGCCATAGAGGCCAGGCACCTTAATCCCAGCACTCGGGAGACAGAGGCAGATGGATCTCTGAGAGCTCAAGGCCATCCTGGGTTACACGAGAGTGACTCAGTCTAAAGGAGAAACAGAGCTCACACATTTGATCCCAGCACTTGGAATGACATGCCTTTAATACAAGCACCAGGGAGAGGGAAACAGGGATGATATGGCTGGGCAGAGAGAAGAATATAAGCCAGGAGGAGATAGGAGCACATTGCATTCTGAAGCTTGGTGGGGAGGCAATCTGAGTAACAACGCAGTCAAATGCAGTCTGAGGTTTGGGTGGATCTCCCCTTCGGGCTGAGCATTAGTAGAGGTGAGAAGCTGGCTGCTTCACTTCTCTGATCTCCAGCTTTAACCACAATATCTCTCTCTGAGTTTTTACTATTGATACCAATTATTACTCATGCTACAATAAATAGTTTAAAATAATAGTCTTTTTAAAAAGAGTAAAGAAATAAAAAAGGAAAAAGGCAACATAAGGATGAGAAATACACAGGGTGTCTGAATCTTGTATGGTGCTTTGTTGACTTTGAATTTTTTAAATAAACAAAAAGCAGTAGCTACTGAGAGATGTTGGATTATGAACACTGATAAATTAAACCAACCTATATATTTTAAGAATGTCTTACCTTCAGAATGGAAGTCAGAAAATGTGTTGCATTAGGGGAAAGGTGGTATTGTTTCCACAATAAAGGAAAGGCTATGGATGCCTTCAAAATTAATGATTAGATTTGACTGGGGAAACCTCCTGAAAATCTTAGTTACAGACATAAATGAAGAAAGCCAAGAAAGACTACAGGACAGGTAATGTATATGCTGATCCCTCCACATGGGAACAGCTCTGAGACTGGATGAGACATGATAAATCTTATTGGCTATAGAATCTTCATGACTTATTATTACATGGCATCCTTTCATATTGCATGGATAGAGGTTTGGCTATACAGACCAAATAGACTCATAAAGTCAATAAATGCCTTTTACCTCCTCAAACATAGAATAAAAATCTTCTTTAGCTGACTGTGCACATCACACATTCCATACTTGTGTTAACACAGATATATATGTTATCATTAAAAGTTCGTGTGTTTTCAGAAAAAAAATAACTGTACACGAATGAAAACAAGTAGGCCAAGTGATCTCACCTGAAAATGCCTCTGTTACAGAGTCTGCAAAATTTTGCATCCAGAACTACTTCAAATCTGCTAGCTGAGGTGGTCTAGTCTCACAGACTACTCCAGACAAGACTTCAGATAAGCTCTACACTTTCCCATCACACAGACACTAAACAAAAAATAATACAGCTAGCTCTCCCAGGACTAGAGCATTATCTCAATTTTCTCAGGGTTTCCTAGAGATGCCAGTACCCACAACAACAAAAAACAGTCTAGAGAACATGATGAACACATTCCTAAGGGGTGGGATGGGTGGTTTTTGGTTGTTCAATGGATTATGGATGTTTATCATCATTTGGGGGGTTGGTTGCAAGTTGTTGTTGGTCATGGTCAGAGAGAAAGCTAAGAAAGGAGATTAGATTCAGTGATCTTGTTCTGAAAAGGAGTAAAAGGATATAGAAATGATAGGATAAAAGGGTAGATTATTGAATCTACTTTTAAAGTAAAAAAGCAACTACGAGTCTTGAATACATTGCACATGCGTTTTTGTATATTGATACAAATTTAAGGCTATTTCTGGTAGAACATACTGTAAATATGTTTCTACTTGTGTTCAAGGTACTGTACCTATGCAGCTCATTTAAAAATGTAATGTAAAATTGTAGTCCTTGAAAGCTATTTAGGATAATTAAGAAATACAGCTTAGTAGTTAGTTATCTCTAACTATCAAATGTGTAGTCATGTTAGGTATGTTTTAAAGGTCAAACAGGAATATTTTAGATAGATGGTCTTCAAACACTTCAGAGACCTACATAATATTATGTTTAAGATATTTTAATAACATAAGGCTTTTCATGACAGGGAGACATATCTGCTCCAGGCAGCAACAATTTACTTCAAAAAAGGATGATGGGCATCAAAGAACCTCCGTATGAAGTTCGCTTTTATTGTAGCAAAGTTAACCACTGGATAAGAAACTGTCCTTGCCTTAATTAGTGACAGTATGCTGTCCAAACTGAACAAGTAGAATATAAAAGAAGGCAACTGCCAAATTTTGCCAGGACAGTCCTTCAAAATTCCTGCTTCACAGAAAAGTGTGTCAGCTACTCTAGGCCTGTAGGCCAAAGATAGATGGCCCATCATTGCAGAGGAACCTTGGGTTACTGATCAGGCAGCCAAATGTCTCTGTGGTTCCTATAGTTTTGAAAGTTGTTTGCTCTGTACTTCCTGTTTACTCAAGTAATGTTTCATCCTTCTTGGGTCTCTGATGGAGATTGAAGACTAGATAGTTATATAGTTTTCCCTGTTACCAAATTCAGAAAAAAAAATTAAGAGGTACAGTTTATAAGGTTGAAAAATATAAAAGATTAAGTTGTTTATCTAAGAAGATGTTTTTAGGTCTGAAAAGTTATTTTTAGGAGGGTAATACAAGTTGTGATAGAAAATGTTTTAGGTATAAAACTTTGGACTAACCAAAATAGAATAGATAATGCAGTAATTTCTCTGAATTTACCAAATGCAAATGGACTGGACATTGTGAATGTAATTCACCTGACAAGTGTTCTTACTGTATATAGTTTTTCTGTATAAGAGTTAAAATCATTCCTTTTTATTTAAGCAAAAAGGGAGAAATGGTATGGAATATTTGTATACTGTGTACAGATGTGTTGCTATCTTTGGTATAATAAAAAACTGAACAGCCAATAGGTAGGCAGGAGGTGTAGGTGAGACTTCTGGGCAGAGAGGAAGAGGAGAAGGAACCCAGGTACAGAGTTTGCCAGAAACTCTGAAGAAGTCGAACATACGAGGTAACCAAGCCACAGGACAGAATGCAGATTAGCAGAGACAGATTAATTTAATTTATAAGAGCTAGTTGGAAAAAAGCCTAAGCTAAGGCCAAGCTTTCATAATTTGTAAGTCTCCAGGTCATTATTTGTGGGGTGGCAGTCCAAGAAAGTCAGACAAGAATGCTTGCTACACCCGGTATAAGCCTAATAATAATAAACCCTTTCCTCTGCAACTTTTTAATCATGGTGTTTCATCACCGCAATAGAAACCCTAAGACAATGACTAGACACATGAATGACCACACTGACCATATCCTTTAACTTTCCTGAGTGTCAAGCATTCATGTATGCCTGGAGTTGCCAACTTCGAAAAAGAGTATACGGCAAGTATTTTAGGGCTTAGCAGGTGACTTATCTCTGTTGTTCCATGACCAAAGCAGCCACAGATGCATATAAAAAGGAATGGCCATGAGTGGGTTTGAATAAAAGTTTGTTTATAAAGAGCAGGATGTATTTGTCCCCCAAACAACAGCTTTCCAACACTTTATAGAAATGTAAATATAAAAGACTACACTCTGTGAGAACATTTGAGTATAAGTTACTACAAACATTCTAGACCATAGTTCTGCAATTTAAATAACTGTTCCAACTGAAACACAGACAGTTTTGAGTTTCATCTAGAAATTGAAAAATACACTTATAAACAATGCTCCAAAGAACAAAATGCAAGTTACAAAGTGGGGGGAAAAGTGTAGCAGATTAGAATAAGATAATTTAGTATTTGACATAATTGACCCAATCACCACAAAAGGTTTAACACTAATTAAACTCATATCTTAGTTCCTGAAACCTTAGGTTTCAGTGTCATCTTGAATATAGTTATAAATATATCTAAAAAATTAGTTTGATACAAATGTAGGTTCATTTATCTAATGAGGACGCGGCTATGGGGATAACACTCAGACCATTTAAAAGTTTTCCAAGGTCGTGGTATAACAATAAACAACTGTACCAAGTCAATGAACAACCTGGCCTATTTACCTAGAGATTTACTTTTATTTTCTAATTATGTGTGTGCGTATGTGTCCACCTGCCTTTGCCTCCCAAGTTCTGGGATTAAAGGCATGTGCTACCATGCCTGGCTCTTTCCCGTTTTTATAATTACTCACCAAGACCTGGATTACAGAATGAAAACATTCACTTTTAACCATTATCAAGAAGTCGGTAAATAAATTAGGATTCTATAATTCAGGAGTCCAACATGAACAGCTCTTATCTCTACACTGCTTTCTGAATTAGGGCAATCATTTCTGGCTTGTGATAGACTCACCAAGCAACTTGCAAACTCTTTGTTTTCCGACAGGAATCCATAACCTGGGTGTACCTGAGAAATGAAAAGAAAAGGTTCTTTTAACTTTATCGTGTTGTCAATCTGCCTAAACCGCAAGGTATGCGCTCTTCCAGTGTGCTGAGGTGACTTCCTCACTGACCAGTTCTGTTGCACTTTTCTGAGTGGAGAACCAAAGTCCTCCTCTGTTCTGTCGCCAGGCAGGCCACAATGGCATCTGTGTCCTTGCCTGGTCGCGTTGGTCAACGCTAGCCAACTGGTCGCATTGGTCAACGCTAGCCAACTGAAACGCACTTGACTTTCCCTGAGGCTGGTCAACAAATACAGAGAACTTCACAAGGGCTAGTGGGTCAAAGAGTTATGATCTACAAACTTTTGGCAAAGCAGATGAAACCTTCGAGAACAGCTGCTCTTAGAGATAAAGAGGTCGTACTTGCCAGACGTGATGGCACAGGCCCATAGCGCTAGCACTCGGGAAGCAGAGGCCTGCAGGTCTCTGGGATTTGGGCTGAGTTCCAGGACAGCCAGAGCTACGTAGAGAAACCCTGTCTGAATGAATGAGTGAATGAATGAGCCCAAGGTCTAAGCCACACGGCACATCTTATTCCCAACAGCAGGAGGTGTTCTACCTCTCCCTAGAACCTCTGGCAAACCACACACAAATGGAGGTTTGGTTTGACTTTTATTTTGTACTGTTGGTTTTTTTTCTTTTTCTTTTGGTGTCTGTTTTTTCTCTCCTTGCTCCAAATTTGGCCATTCACACTAACTCTGTGCTATCTTCCCCACAAGGCAAAGTGTACACTCTAACCTGTGTCCTAGTCAAGTCATTTTTCACTCTATTACATAGCCACCATAAGCCACGCCAACATCAGTCAGTGTTGGAACGATTTGTAGTAAAATACTTCTGCGAGAAAGGAGAGTCGGGTTCCTGAAGGAGCCAGTCAGAACCAAAACAGCCACAAATCTGATGCTTGAATCCAGACCAAGTGATGTGGACAGGGTATAGAGTAATTTAAACACTGCACAATAGGGAAAGACTTTCACCCCACCATTTCAGTTGAACAGGAAATGCCATGGAGACTGTGTTCTGACCAGTGGCATTACACGTTTTTGCTCCTGTTAAGTGCTAAGATGCTGTGAGCATCCACGATATGGAGTCATACCATAGGGGTTTTTTGTTTTGTTTTAAGCATTTCTTTCTAAAGAAATAAGCAGAGCAGTAAGGAAGTCACTCCAGGCTGGTGCCAGGTGCTGACTGTTTTCACCAAACTGTGTCGATAACTCTACCTTTAGTAGTAAATGTATGGTTAGCTCTCTGGTTAAAAACAAAAATCAAAAATTACTGTACCTGATGTCAGAAACTAGTTTTTTTTTTCCCCTTGGATTCCACTCCATCCAACACAAATTAGGGGTGGAGAAAGGATTTACCAATGTAAGCTATTAGCATTTTGTTGACACTAACAAACTGAGATAATTACCAAATACACTGTTTCCATTTCTAGCAATGCAAATGAGTGTGAACAATTTTTAAATGACTAGATTGAAATTTAAACAGTCTTCCCGGAACCTGCTTATAACACACAAGTTTGGGGCTTTGTTTTTTGGGTTCTGTTTTTTTTTTTTTTTTCTTAATGCTCTTATTACACTGAAAGGGTTAATGCTCAAAACTAATTGGGATTTCTTTCTTCCTGGCAAATGTGGAACTGAACTGAAGCTGCTCCCTGGTGTGAGAGCTGAACCCAGCAGCCACCTGCAGCATCCGCCACCAACACGGCCAGATGCTACAAAGCCTTTGATTTCCAGTAGCGAATCGGCCACATTTAACTCATGGGACGCAGACTGAAGGCAACAGCATTTTCAATCATTCTTTCTATGTTTTCTAATGCAAACTCCGGCTTTCTGCTCGCCGCATCGGAAACAGCTGCGGAAGATGGGTTCATTCAGACTCACAGCTTGGGCCCTGGTTTTCTTAATGGCTTCCATGATGGCATCCATGTTGAGGTAGCTTTTACTGGTGGGAGCTGGGCCAACACAGACAGCCTCATCCGCCATTTTCACGTGCACCTAAAGAGACAAATCCCTGCGTTAACAGATGCTCGGTGAAAAGAATTACAACCACCCGTAAGCAGACGCAAAATTTCAAATCAGATTGTTTCGCAGTTACCCAGAGAATTGAATTTCTTTTCAAGTACATGCAAAACACACACACACACACACACACACACACACACACACACACACACACACACACACAAAATAAAGGCTCAGGGTCTGTGTTACCCGTGACTTCATTAGGCACGCCTCACCCACTGTCTAACTAAGTAATTTCTACAATACACCTGTATCCCCTCTTGGGTTCATCCATGCATAAATCTGATATCAAAAACTACCTCACTACATGGAACCAGAGTAGCCCGATATTTTAATAACGGGCACATTCATGCCCAGCTCTGAGCAAGCTCCCCAGGAAGTTGGATAATTAGAGGGACTGAATGGAGGGACGCAGTGAGTATCCCTGCACAGCATCAGGTCGGCACCAGGCTCAAATTAAAGCCCAGAACTAAAGAGTTCAATATCATGACACATGAACCAGAAAATTCTGAGAAACATTTAAATACTCTCACATTCCAGCCTTGTCCGTTTTACCTTTAGTCTAAAAAAAAAAAAAATGATGTGTGTAGTAATCGCTCAAATTATTCAAATTCAGGCATGTGCTTTCCATTTTTTAAGACAGCTCATGCTACAGTATTTTAGTCTGTGTTTTTGCTTGAGAAGAGGCTAGGTAGGCATTCAACAGTGAAAGAGGAACTGTCTAATTCTGAAAGGAATTTATTCTTTTTTAAATTGTCATAGTATGCTTTTGAACTGGCGTCATCTAATAATTTTACAGCTTAAGAAACTCACAATCAAGTCATAAGTATTTTGAAAGGCAGATACAGAAAACCGGGCATAAAAAAAACACCTGAACATTTATGATCCATTTCTCTACTAGGGGGATGGACGGGGGAAGCTATAGTAGAAAACACTTCAGTGTCTCTAAGACATAATCTTTAATTCTAAACTAACTTGTTAAGAGTACTTTGTGAAATGAGAGCTGAAAACTTACAAAATGGCCTTTAGAAAAAAATTAGAGTTCTTTTTATTGAGTAAAAACGTTCCAATTAAGTAAAAAGGTCATTGCATATTAAAAGATAAATGATAACCTGCACAAAGGGGTTACAGGTCAATATCATAACACAAAATGCTCAAATATAGACACTCCTTGCTTGGAAGGGGCTTTTGAGTACCCTGTATCTGAAGCAGGCTCTCTCCCTTTATTTATCTTTGGAAGGGGCTTTTGAGTACCCTGTATCTGAAGCAGGCTCTCTCCCTTTACTTATCTTTGGAAGGGGCTTTTGAGTACCCTGTATCTGAAGCAGGCTCTCTCCCTTTACTTATCTTTGCCTGGCTTGTTTGCTCAGCTTTGTGTTTCTTATGGCTCTCAGACCATTTCAGAGCCTGCTATTATCAACGTTGTTGTTAACGTGAAGGCTGTGAGTTTTGTCTGTTTTCTGTGAAGAAAGCATACGTAAATGATCCTTTTGAAAGACCGTGTTAGCCACTTAGCTGCTGAAGCTAAACGTGCACTTACTTTATATGACACATGCCTCCCCGTGATGTGCAGAGTCTTTCCTGGACACTTTTGGGTCCCCCTCCTTTATCCTGAAATCTCACAAGGGCTGGCCTAAGAACCTCATTTTAACATCGTTACCAGCTATGCTATTATGATGCGTATCTCTTCCACAAATCCTCATGGTGTACGTGAGAAAAGACTGCATCTTAAATTCTTTTTAAAATCTCCCCACGTGCTGTTATGTGCTAAAGGTTCAAGATGGGAATTTATTTAATAACCTGCATTATTAAATGGTAAAACTATTGTCTTTGAAGGAAAATAGAAAAATTCCACAAAAGTAAGTCATTGTCTTTGAGGTCAAAGTCTAGCTATGCCTTCTCAGCCTGAGCAACGGGTTTGGCAAGTGGCATGTATATGGTGGAAAAGAAATTAAAAGATACACATATGCCTAAATTTTCTATAATGAACACACATAAAACAGGAAAAAGGGGGGCTCTGATGGCACTGTGACTTCTTGACTCATCTTCTCTTGAAACTTCAATGATGCTGCATGCATAACTTTTCTGTGATTCGTTAGCTACCATGGTAGACAACACAAACTCCTCATAAATGTACCAAGGGCAAGCAAGCTCTGAGTCTAACATGTTGTTGATGATGATTCACATTGTTCTAATAAACACTTCAATACATTATGCATGCAGGTCAAAACTGCAACAGACTTGGCAGACAAGGGCTACACACACTTCCTAAAGGGGATCACTTTTGTTTCTCAGAAATAAATTTCACTGCAGAGGGACGGGCTATATGCATCCCCACAAACCTACAGTCTAACATAGGGTCAGATGGGCAAAGTCATATGAAAAGACAAACATCTTATTTATCACAGAGACCGTAAACAAAGAGATCTAGAAAGGCTAGTTTAAAAAACTTTTGAAACTGGGGCCAGGCACGGTGGTACATCCCAGCACTTAAGAGGCAGAGAAAAGCAGATCTCTGTAAGTTTGAGGCCAGCCTGATCTAGAGTGAGTTCCCAGGCTACATAATGAGACCTTGTTCAAAAAAGTTTTTGAAACTGCATTTGAGCCAGGAATGTTGGGCTCCACCTTTAATTCCAGAACCAGGAGGCAGAGGCAGGTGTAACTGAGTTTGAGGCCAGTCTGGTCTACAAAGCAAGTTCCAGGACAGCTAGGGTACAGAGAAACTCTGGAGAGGGGGAGAAGGGGGAGAGGGGGGAAGGAAGGAGAGGGGAAGGAAGGAAGGAAGGAAGGAAGGAAGGAAGGAAGGAAGGAAGGAAGGAAGGAAGGAAGGAAGGAAGCAAGGAAGCAAGGAAGCAAGGAAGCGAAGGAAGGAAGGAAGCAAGGAAGCAAGAAAGGAAGGAAGTCCTTTGAATGTTGTTGTTATACTCAGTGGGTGAGGTGCTCCCCTTGGTTCAGCTGTAGAAGCCCCTACACCATTTTGAAAAGACTTTGCTTAAAAAAATCTTTCATGTTTCAAAAATGTCAACATTTTAAAAAACAAAATTTTAAGTAATTTAATAGAAAAGAAAAACTACAACAATCATAGACTTAACCAGAAGCAAATTAATACAGCAAGATTTGCTATGGTGCAAAAAGACCAAAACGTTGGTGGTAAGACTGCTCCCATATCCAGAAAACCAAGTACTTTTCAAAAGAGAATGTCAGTTTATATTCAAGCACACATGGTTTTCTATTTTTAATTTTTTAAAATTCTTTGTAGGAGAGTTGCTTGGATCATCCTATTATTTTCTAATAGGATGTTAAAGGGTGTTATTTTTAAACTTATAGGACTGAAAAAGAATCATCGTCTCATTGTCTTTTTTAAAATAAAACTATGCTTGTCTAGTATGCTTGAGGCCTTGGGTTGAATTTCCAGCACCACACACACACATACAAGTCCAATTACTTGAATTTGTGACTATAGACAATTTAGCACTGGAGGCTTATTAAAACAAAATCCATTATAACCAATGAGATATGTTGAAACTATTGCAATTACCTCCTATGCTTATCAAGAAAACTGTGCCTTACAAAACCTAATTCCAAAAAGATCAAAGATCTCCACATAAATCCAGCCACACTGAACTTCTTAGAAGAGAGTGTGGGAGGTACCCTTGAACAAATTGGTACAGGAGACTGCTTCCTGAACATAATACCAGTAGCACAGACACTGAGATCAACAATTAATAAATGGGACCTCCTGAAACTGAGAAGCTTCTGTAAGGCAAAGGACTCAGTCAACAAGACAAAAAGGCAGCCCACAGAATGGGAAAAGATATTCACTAACCCCACATCTGACAGAGGGCTGATCTCCAAAATTTACACAGAACTCAAAAAGCAAGTCTCCAAAACACCAAAGGATCCAACTAAAAAGTGGGGGACAGAACTAAATAGAGAATTCTCTTTGAGGAGTCTAAAATGGCTGAGAGACACTTAAGAAAGTGCTCAACATCCTTAGCCATCAGGGAAATGCAAATCAAAACAACTCTGAGCTACCATCTTACTCCTATCAGAATGGCTAAAATAAAAAACACCAGTGACAACTTATGCTGGAGAAGATGTGGAGAAAGGGAAACACTCCTCCATTGTTGGTGGGAGTGCCAACTTGTACAGCCACTTTGGAAATCAGTATGGAGATTCCTCAGGAAAATGGGACTCAGTCTACTACAAGAACCAGCAATTCTACTTTTAGGCATATACCCAAAAGATGCCCATTCATACAACAAGGATGTCTGTTCCACTATGTTCATAGCAGCATTATTTGTAATAGTCAGATCCTGGAAGCAACCTAGATGCCCCTCAACTGAAGAGTGGATAGAGAAAATGTGGTACGTTTACACAATGGAGTACTACTCAGCAGAAAAAAAATGGAATCTTGAAATTTGCAGGCAAATGGATGGCACTAGAAGAAACCATCCTGAGTGAGGTAACACAGTCACAAAAAGACAAACATGGTATGTACTCACTCATATATGGATTTTAGACATGGATCAGGGGAGTATCAGCCTACAATCCCATTGCCAGTGAGTCTGGGAAACAGGGAGGTTCCCAAGAGGCATAGAATGATACCAAGATCTCCTGAGCAGATTGGGAACATGGCGGGAGGGGAGAGAGAATGGGGGAAAAAAGAGGGGGACAAGAGGAGGGGAGAGGAAGACATGGGGGAGCAGGAAGGTTGAGTTGGGAGAAGAATAGAGGAGAGCAGGATGAGAGATACTATGATAAAGGGAGTCATTATAGTTTTGAGGAGAGAGCTGACACTAGTGAGATTTCCAGAGATCTACAAAGATGATACCAACTGGCAAACTAAGCAATAGTGGAGAGGCTACCTTAAATGCCCTTCCCTGATAATGAGATTGAGGACTGCCTTATATGCATCCTAGAACCTTCACCCAGTGATGGATGGAAGCAGAGGCAGATACCCACAGCTAAAC